TGAATTTCAAGGAAGGCCAGGCTTTTTGCCATATCACATTCTTTGATGGGATTGTGGGTTTATGCAAACTTATATTTGCTATAACAATCGACTACGTTTCTTATTTTTCGTATGTTCCCTGTGACCCAAGGGCACTCGTGATAATGTGGTCGATTGGTCAACGAGTCATGTTCCCATTCTGAACTGTCACGGTTCGACTCCCGCTGAGGGTGTTGATAAGACCGATGCGAAGTCGAAACTACAGTCCACCCTGGATGGGAACAACTTTTGGGAAAGCAAGGCTATGTGAAATTTAATAGAATTGTCAGCTCTACTAATATCATCGTGGTAAAATTGTACTATTAGTCTTTCATCACCTTAAACGAAATTGGGTAAATACATTTCATATTACTGATTTGCTGGTAGTCTCGAAACTACTTTAATGCGAAATATATAAAATCAGCCTTGAATGTTATTTTAATTTGTTATATTGATCCTTTCGCCTTTTGGGTGTCTGAGAGGATATATAAAAATCATATTTATTTGTGCGTGTTTGTTTAACTTTTCTGCCATCCAGAGGCCTTAATCTAAAATTGAAACTACTTTTCCACACTCAGCTATTGGCATGTATACATACAAAAATGCATATTTATATATGCTGAGAGGTGTGGTATAGCATATGAATATAATTTTATGGATGTCACAAATGTAAAAAGTGGTCTACGCTAGGTTTATAATAGAATACTGATCTATAAAGCTTGTGACGGCAGGGATACCTGACCCAGACCACCTGTACACCTCTTAGCCCATCCACAGAACTCTAATTTTGATAGACTTTTGATATGTCGAAACATATTAAGTAAAATTGGACTAAGGACAAACTAGTGATACCGCTTGAATGGAAAATACTTTTATACTATCCTTGATGTATATTTCTCCCTAAAGACAAGCTACGCCCAGCTTGGCTCTTTGCGAAGGCGTACTTGATGAAATCCGCCACCTTCGAAGCCATCTCGACGATGCCTTCCTTACACTTTCGGCCACTCCGATTGCGCTTGGTGGGGGTAGTAACACTGGCCGTTCTGCCCGCAGCGATTCTGACCGGCAGCACCAGATAGCCAATAGCTTGCCGTTGATCCAGGCTTCGCTGCAGCAGATCAGCGAATTAACCCATGGCTTAGGTGTCCACTGGCGCCGGGATCGCTGGGAGTTAGTCGGACACGATGCTGTCGGTTCTGCGGCATATCTGCAGAGCCTGGTTAAGGTAAGAGGCAATCTTTGGGGAATACCTTATGAATATTAATGAGTTAAGAACTTATTTTATGTAGATAATTTAAATGTATCCAATTGAGTAGTTAGAGAAGCTGTCCTCAAGTCAGACATTTTCACCCCAGATCACTTTTGCTATCTAGGACCTGATGGTTAAGTTAAACTAAGAAGTAATCTTTATTTATGCTTTCATGTTCCATAATATTTTTATCTTTAGGTAGGAATACATAAAAAGTTGTGAGGGTCTGTAGAGCTGGTAATTTCTAAATCAAATGGCAACTACCTATCCTCAAATAGGCTAATTTCGGGCCCATAGATTTTTCATATTTAGATAGCTATAGTTATTCTTAAGATATTGTGGAGCTGAAAATGTAAGGCATCTTTAATGTAGAAGCGAAGTGTAAGGTGCTGAATAAAAATAATGTGTGGCTACCTTATGGGATCGTGGATGCCGAGGAGGATTGGATATCACACAAAATGTCTGTCTTGGATAGTATTTGTAGGAAACACGCATGGGCATCACGCGTCTACACACACCCTTGGTACTGGATTCCTACAGACTTACTTTTTATATCTTTAAACAATATCTGAGGTATCCAGAATTAATTTAGGGAATTTGCCTTGTTTTTTCTACATAGTTCTCAAATGCGCATCATTGCTGTCTTGGAGCAGTCCTAATGTAGTCCCATAATTCTGAACATGCTTTGACTTTGAGAAAAAGGATGCAGTCTTCTTTCGAGGGCAAAAATAGTTTTCTAAATTTTATCGTTTTTATTTGGGTCATTTTTTAACATTCTATTCTCTCAGCATGTAGTAAACCACGCATTTGTCATCATCGAATGACAAATTGGCAAATACAGAATACATTCACCTACCTAATATGAAATATTTATTTTTAAAGGTCTTTTACTATCTTCAGTCTTCTTGTAAATGTGTTTTATTTGATATCTCGTCCTGAATATCTTTCTCATCTATCATGCAAAATACGGACTCAGTTTAAGTAAAAATGCGGGTAGTAGAATGAAGTCCTGAGAAAAGCAGACCTTGTTGCTATGATTTACTTGAGCAAATGAGCATCAGAGGCTAACTTCCTCCAGTTTATGGTGAATTTTATTATCAGCCCTCCTTTGATCCTTACGAAATGAAAATGCCTCTTAATGGATTCTGCGAAAAGTAATTTTTGTACATACTTGGGCCTCATCTAGTCTCTCACAGGTTGCCATGCCTTTATAGTACATATTTTGTACTGGTTGAGGCCACATTAGGCCCCTATTTTTTTCATTCATTATAGTTTACACTTTTTTAAACGAATTTATCCTATTTTTGAGTATTTTTTCTAGGGGTCATTTGGTCCACACTTTGTGTATTTGTATTTTTGTGCTAATGATTGCGCCGCTTATCAACGATCTCGTGGAAGTGTCCGCCTATATATCTATTAACTGTTAGATGGATAAAAATCCCTTAACAACCACGCAGAATATGCTACTCCGAATTCTTCATGAAGGCAAGACTATGTTGCCAAAATGCTGTCATCCTAACTCCGCGGAATTCTGCATTTGTTATAAATAAGACTACTCCTCCACAGATCTTTTGAGTCATAAGGAGATAGTACTTATATTGCAACACATGGCTATCTAATTTCCATATTCATATTGAGTAAGTTTCTATACTATCAGTGGATCTTACTCGCATTTGAAAACAAGTTATGCTATAAGCTGGAGATCTCGACTTATCTACTCGGTCTAAATATTTTCCCTTCAATTCTTGACTGTTTTTATCTTAAAGCAATATCCGTGTTTATGCTACCTGATCTCATAGTCACATTTTTCTATCCTCGCTTTATCCTCTTCTGCTTTTCTTATATTTTTTTTAAATTCAGGAGGGCATCATTTGTACTTCAAGCCTAACTCGCAGTTCCGAGCAAGCCAATCTTGTCAACCTGATGAGAACTGTGCTGGAGGCAGATGAGCAATTGGTGCAGAGCCTCATAGATGGCATGCATTGTCGAGTAAGAGAACCATGCAGATAGCACAGTGGACCACGTGCCATTTTGATTTTCCTTTTTAACGTATTTTTTTTGTGACTACGAAGAGTAACTAGGTTTCGATTAATCTTCTCAAAAAACATTGTTGGGAAGACCTTAATTTCGTATGAAAGTGCATGAGTAAGAGCCTCGCAGGTTGATCTCACTAGAAGACGACGGCTTCTTGATCTAGTGTTAGCGTGATTCTTTTACAATAATGAATTCCAGCTCTGATGATGTTCATCATATGATGGACAGCCCGTTTTCACCTGAAGCAATGGAGGATGCCTCGTGGACTACGTCGACCTGAACGTAGTATTAAAGCCAAACGGCTGCAGTGCAACAGGAACCAGCCGTCGTCTTTTGATGAGAATAACCTACTTACCTATTTATACACTCTCATACGAAATGAAGACCTTTCCAACAATACTTTTTTGCAATTTTTATTGCAGTAACTGGTTATTGTCACAAGTTCCGAATAGTACCTCCAGATTTGCAACGCAGTCTGAAGCTCTATTCGTGTTTACTATTGAGTTCGATTTTACTGTTATTGTTTCGATTGAACTCGCAATCTGGTTCAACAACATTCCATTATTCCGCTCTCCTCTTCCAACGAAAGGAAAGGTGTTCCATAGCATTCCGTTGTATTTATTCTACAAGGCTTGTTTCTTCACATTGAGAGTCAGGAGATGACGATTTTTACTCATTTTAATGGTGCTTATTTACTTAACCACTTAGTTTTGAAAGTCTGTTTTAAAAACCATTATCCGTATGCTACCTATGCTTCAAAGTCCCACTTTGCCTGATACACAATTTTCTTTTACATACACATTGGATTTTTGTCCATAATTGCCACATTGTTGATTTTACTTTTTCAGCCACTATATATTATATAAGATTTTGTTAGATGACAAGCAGCTTGTAAAAATATTCTTTGCCAGAAATTACTAGCTAACCAAGCAGTCCTACTTTGCCCCAAATAGTTTGAACATTGTGTTTATTTTGATGCATCCAATATTAATGGATTCTTCCTTGTTAACGCCGAGACTCTTTTGCAGGGGTTTTATCACGAAGACTTCTGACTTTCTTTACTTTTACCGAGCATTAGGAATGTGCAAATTGGACTGCTTATGATGCTCTTGTTTTATGTAAAGCTTCATTAGGGTTTAATGTAGTTTAATGGTAATGTACTCCAAATAATATATGATTAGCAAAGACCTTTCTAT